ATACAAAATAACCGTAGAGGAAAAAAGCTACATAATTACTTACATTAAAATACCTAAAACAGGTTTAACAACAAACGATAAAACTAGTGGTAACAATACATAAATAAAAAGAAAGAGAAAAAATTATTAGTAATTGTTGTTAATAAAATTACTATATCAAGTACGTAGTTATTGGATAATAATATTTAAAAAAAAAACTAAAAACCGGGCAGAGGAGCAGCTGTGCTTCATGAAGTAGAAACAGTTTACGTCTTCTGTGACTTCTGACTAGCTTTCCTGCCGACCATTGACAACACAGTATATACAGAAGAGCTCACCCATGTGGCATCAACATAAATTTAAACTGAAACAAAGAGTTTCATCTCATGTTTTGGAACTCTTTTTAGGAATTTCCCTTTTTAATTTGATAAAAGAGCTGAGTTACACCAGCTTTACGCAACTATTTTGCTCTCCGAAAGTAACGACCCCCTTAAAGTAGCGAGCCCCAAAGTCTGCTAATTCTGAAAGTAACGAGGGTCGTTACTTTCGGATTTTACGGTAAATAACTTTGACACTTATTTATTACCTACTTATTTATTCTTTTCAACTTGTTGCTCTTACAACTGATCCATTCTCAAAATGCTAAGTTGAGGTAATTAGTATCCAATCAACAGAATCACTTCAAGAACGAATACATGTTCTTAGCATTATTCTATCACCGCTAAATACCGCTCTCTGTGCAGCTTATTCTACAGAATTAAAGTTTAACCATTTGCACCTGAAACGAATTGTGTTTCAGTCCGATTTTTCTGAATGTCTCTTTATTGTCACAGTTCATTAGTCATACAGATCAGGCAAAATTCACATAGCCTCTTAACCATTCGAGTTATCTTCGAGTTATAAGTCATTAGACATTGCCTTCTTCACTGAAGGCTTCGGAACCAAGTTCTGCAAAAGCTTTTTGAATCTGGGATCGTTTGTAGAATCTTCAACTTTAGACTTCCTTATCAAACAAGGCGATAACAAAGCAGGCAATGTAGTTGTCTCTGACATGTGGTAAACGTCGCTAGGTAGTGAAGCTGATACAACTCTTGGTAGACGCACATCTTCCAGTGAGTTGTGAGGGCTTTGTTCTGGAGAGGAGTCTAAAGAATCACTTATGCTAATGAAACGTTTCTTGTCATGTCTAGTCGCTCTTAGATTTTGTCTTAATCCTCCTCCTTCAATTCGAGGCAAGTTTAATATTTCAGGATTAGATTCAACTCTCCGCAGTAAATGTTTTCTCATGTCTCTGATAGCATGTTCCTTCTCCCATCGCAGCCGACTTTCTTCTTTCTTCTGCCAGAGTTTCAGGTGATTAATTTCACACTCCAGTTTGGAGTCTTCGAAAACGTTGTCTTTTAAAATCACCTTTCCAGTTCTACTATCTTTGACTTTCAGAGCCGTGTGTACACCATGAGCTCTAGTTAGTTCCTTTGTCCTGTTTTCCATCGGTCTGTTTTTGTTTATTAGCACTCAGTTGCTGAGCCAAGCTGTTGTCTATTAACACTGATGAAGTGGGGCTATCTACAGTTTCTCAGCATGCAGTACTATTTCACCAGCAACAGGTAGTCCATTCACTCGTCGTAATACCAACAGGCTTCGCAATAAACAATTGAATTTCTCGAAGATTCTTTGAACCGTGCAGTGAAGCGAAGTGTGTTAAGCAAATGCTTGTTGTGGTGTAGACCATGCAATTCTTTTTCAAAAATTCTATAACATCGTTAACTACCTCTTTCTAATGACTCTATTGTATGTATTGCCACGCCTGAGTATTGATTGCCTGAGTAATAAGCATTTGCATGTTTTATGCTCTCTTTGGATCAAGTTTCTTTGTAGCTTTGACGTCAAATTGCACAATATTTTATTTATCTAATTTGTAAACTTTAATTAGCCAACTGCTACTTTAACAGAACCCACGAGTCCTTACCTATGATAACTATACTAATAAACAAGAACATTAAAAATAGAACACATATATACTTCACAACACAAAAGAGGCTAAATTCAACTGTAAGAGAACGCTTAGCTTTGATGCGTGCACCGTTGTATTGGAAGCTGCATCCTTATAATTAATTGTTTCGGAAAAAGATAGGGTGTGCGGCACTTTTACATCTGTTTCGCAACCTTGTGCCCAGAGTGTTCGTTTCCCTTGACTATCAGTTTGGAAGCGAGCGATTTTGTCACGCTTGTGTAGTATAAGAAACAAAGGTTGTCCTTCAAAATCATAAATCCTTACGCGACAATGCCGAAAGGCATGATGGGTAGCGATCAGCTCTCTGTTGTTTCTTCAAAGTCACGATGTTTCAACGTGATAACAAAGATGACATCAATACGTATATTCATGGCTTCTCTCTCATTCGGGCTGAAACACCGAAAACTGCCAAAACTATCACCACCCACATCAGAAAAAGAACTTCAGGGAAAGCTTGATCAAATACAGAATGACACAGCGTGCTGAGTGGTTAGGGCGCCGGACTTGAAATCCGAAGGTCGCGAGTTCAAGTCCTGCTCTGACCACAAAACTAAAGTTGTTTCTCGGCAGACCCGAATATTGGATGTGAAGAACAAAGCGACTTTAACTCTCGAAAAAATCAACCTCCGGTTCTAAATGATCCAGAGAGGAGCGAACATGAGCTTCACTTTCTATGTTGCACTAGCCGCGCTTCTGAAAGAGAACTTTTGTCGAAACAACTGTACAAACATTAATTTGGTGTGCATGTATGAAAGATAAGGAGGCTCCAACCCCGTCCGGTAAGAGATTGAAGATCGAGAACTACCAGTCATTGAGGCAATTGAACTGCAGAGAAAGATGTAAAGATATGAATGACCATCGCAGTTACACACAATTTAAGCAGTTGTGGAAATAACGCCTGAAAAAGTTCAGGCTTGAACGGGATTCGAACCCATGACCTCTGCAATACCGGTGCAGTGCTCTTTCAATTGAGCTATCAAGCCAACTGGGACCAAGTCACGTGGTGAGTTCGTAATTTTCCCCTAGATGGGTATATTATTATTAGTAGCGGGGCCTTGCATACGGCTGTTGTCACTGAAATTTGAATTGATCAATCAGGATTCAACGGGCGGGAAAAACCGTACTGTTCTGACTTCAATGCAAGTTAACAGGAATAGCATTGAAATCGGGCAACTTCTCTCACTGGAGATGGAATTAGATGTAATGTAATATAATTTAGAAAACAGTCCTAAGAAACTACGCGCGCTGATTGGTTAAAAGTCGTGTTTCTATAACTCGATGGAAACACAGAAGTAGCACGAGCTGTTGACGTAATGATGGCTCGAGAAAAGAGAAGTTACATTTTGATAATCAAAGTTAACAAGTTGTTTTCCTTTTTTTCGTCGCGGTGTTTCCTAAAAGAAATAGAAAATATGTTCTCCGTGTTTCTATCGCGTTATAGAAACACTCGTGAAAGTTTGGGAGAACTCGAAAAAGCTGTGGAAACACTCGCATGTGGCTCGTGTTCTCACAGCATTTCTCGTTCTCCCAAACTTCCACTCGATAGAAACACGGAACATCTTTTCTGTTTCTTAAGTAATTGTCTGTAATTTGTTTACCCGGGGAGCACCAAGGAGTTCACAAAAACTCGTGCAGAAATGTCCGTGCATTCCAGGATCCAATCGGAATTTGGAAATGTTGGTTTTTGAGGAGAGGGGAAAATCGGAGTACCCGAAGAAAAACCTCTCGGAGCAGAGTAGAGAGCCAACAACAAATTCAACCCACATATGACGCCGGGTCCGGGAATCGAACCCGGGACACATTGGTGGGAGGCGAGCGCTCTCCCCACAGCGCCATCCCTGCTCCCCTCATTTATTATTCACAAAAATGTATTTACATTTCCAAAAACCATATCAGATTGCAAAAAGTGAAAAATATGAAACATTTTGTGTCTCCAAGCCTCTAATTTGGCTCCAAAACTGAATGGGTTACCGGCAATTCGCTCGTTGTTCGTCGAATGTCGCCAGGTAAGATAGTTCTGTTATTCTGAACAAAATATGCTTTTCCTTGTCAAAATAAACCTGGAATTCTCAAGTTAACGATTAGAAGACGCCGAAGCAACTTAAACATTGTCTTTATTTTTGTTAGCTGCAAGTAAAAATACTATTATCGTGTCGTTTTGGTAGGACAGCCCAGTTTTCACTGCCGCTCGTACTGCGGGCGCAGCCGCCGTATGCAAGGGGAGTTCCGGCGGCCCGAAGACCCGCCGAGCGGAGCACCATAACTATAGGAACTGGATCACATGCATGTATAGAAATAGAAACCCATGCCGGCATTGCTTTGAGCATATTAACGAGGCAAAAAAATTGAGCAATAAGGAGATAAATGGTTTTGACCTGGGGGGGAGACTCCCGTATGGATGGGGGTGCTCGTCGTTCCTTTTAGCAGGTTGCAAGAGAAAATCATCGTCTCTTGCCGGTTGAAAAAGCGGTTTTGGTACTTATTAGGATGTTCAGCCTCGTAAGGTCCACAGTGGGAGCTTTTGCAAAACATTCAAGGAAGACATATCCTGTATTTCATTGGCTAATGATAGGTTAATAGACGTCACTCAACTTGCGTTGACCTGGGCTGGGTGGTCAAACGGTGAAAACTTGCGTGGACTTGCGTGCAGATTTGATCTCGACCAGTGAGCGCAAGTCATCGCAATTCATCGCAAGTGCACGCGGGACCTGGCCAAACGGAGTTGCAAGTAGACCCAAGTTTTCAACTTGCGAGTCCTTTTGGCCAGGGCTTTAGAATTGGTACCTCTTTGATAGGAAAAAAATTTAAGCTACGCCGCAAAACAGGATCTTTTAGCTCTTAGGGGTTCTTTTTAAAATTTCCGAAGAGCACCCCCGCCGTTTTTATATGGGTTTCCCCTCAAGAATTGTGGATAATTTCACTTGCCCTAGTTTGCGGTGTTTTACGCTTTCAGTTTTTTGGGTACCCAAGACGCTAGGGGTTTGGGTGCGGGGCTACCCAAAACTCGCGGATACCCAAATCACTATGACACACGGGAATAATTATGGAAAGCCATACTTGTGGTTGTTTATCATTATTTGGTGTGGTTTCTTCATTATGTGTTGTAGTTACTTCATTACGTTGTGTGGTTTCTTCATTATCTGTTGTAGTTACTCCATTATGTTTTGTGGTTTCTTCATTATGTCTTGTAATGTAGTCCTGACGTGATGTGTTTTATCATGATGTGGTGTAATAACTTCATTACGTGGTGTGGTTTTATTGTGATGTATTGAGGTTGTTAAGTTATGTCTTGTGCTCTTGTCATGATGTAATGTGGTCACGCTGTTATGTTGTCTGGTATCTTCAATATGTGGTTTGATCATTACGTGATGTGGTTTCGTCTATATGTCTTCTTGACCTCACTTCCAATACCAAGCTCTAGTACCCAAGCTTCTTGCTATCACGAACTGGTTAAACCGGTTTTTAGATGGGTCCCAGTTCCTTCTCTTCCCTGGTGTTAAAGACAACAAAATGGCGAGAACAAGCAACGACAATTTGTCAACTATACTTGACAAGATGCACCTTAGGCATCTTTAATATTGAGAACTTCCAGCGTGAAAAGCTAACATAATTCTCATTCTATGTTTCAGTGTCAGACAGCTTCTTTGTCATTCCCTAATATGGTTGCCGTGGAAACTTTTATCACGATAAAGCCGCGTGTTTTTCTATTCTCTTCATAATCTCCTGCTGATTGGCCATGAATTACATTGATCACGGAAAAACACATCATATAACTACTCAACCTTCGCTCCGATTTCATTCTCGAGGTTTCATTTTCTAACTAAAGTTCGAATGAAAGCAAGGAAAGTCTCTTCATGAAGGTAGGTAAAACAGATATATATTTTGATCGAGGTTTACCCGCTAGTCAATGCAAGTTTTACCCACGTTTGGGCCGCCCGACGCTAGTCAATATGTTCAACTCGGTTACTGTTGCTGTCGCAGTGTTGTGTGGTTTGGCTTCGCCCCTGACTATAAATTCGGGATAAAGCGTTAACTCTCAGTGTAATGTAGGTTGCAGGCTTGTTATTCGGTCTGGCCTCACAGGGAAGGTCTGTGCGCAACTCCATTCTTAAGGACAACAAGTTTCAACGAATTTCAAGGTTTTTTTCCCGCGCTCTCGCAGAGCTGTACATTGGGACTGATTCCGCGATCGGCACTCATGTTCACTCAACAAGCTCTGTGTTTGAGCGGAGAGCTTCTCAATCCAAGTTCCTCGATGTTTTTGGTAGCAGGTGATGCAAATAAAAATACTGCAAAAGTGATCACCAGAGATAGTAACGAAGCTTTTACTAGGTTCATTTATCCCCCTGGCTCGACTTGAAACACATATCTTTTCCCTAAGTTATTGTAAGTTTCTTCGCAAATGTGTATTAAGTGTCAAGAGTAACTAAAGCATTGTTNTAAGATTAACTGTCATGAACTCTGGGATCTTTCCAAAGATATTGCGGCCTATTATCTCAAAAAAAATTCTTTTATTGGATGCAGTGTCTGAAACCTTGAAGTAGTCAATGGCTTCTCTGACCAGAGATAGTAACGAAGCTTTTACTAGGTTCATTTATCCCCTTGGCTCGACTTTAAACACATATCTTTTCTCTAAGTTATTGTAAGTTTCTTCGCAAATGTGTATTAAGTGTCAAGACTAACTAAAGCATTGTTGTTGTTGTAGCACTCCCGTGACAAGATTCGTAATCGTGCATGCTAAAAAGTGTCTTATCCTTATCTTTAAACCTAAATCACTTGTAATTTAAATTAAAATCACCTAACTTGGCCGCGTTGTTTACTGCGAATTTTTGAACTGAGTATTCCAGTTTTCAGCCCTCGAGGTATACATAACAGTTGCTTCGTTCTGTTGTAATTTCCAGTAAAATCGACAATCACTCCGTGATCTATCAGATCAATGATGTATTTGTTACATTTTATAATTTATTCATGCGATAGAGCATAACCGTAGAGAGGCGAGTTTAATGAAGTTTGAATTTTTGATGTAGTTAGCTATTTG